AATAAATTTCTGTCGCTTCTGATTTGCCAATCAAACATCACGCACGTTACGTCATCGGGTCACGCGCAGCACGCAGGTACGTCTCACGTCTCTTGCGGTGGCGCTTTCAAATTGTTTGTTTTAGCATCAACGGTTTATTGGATGTTGGACTCATCTCGGTTAATATATCAACATACAGCGTGTAAGTTATTTCAGTTCAGACCGTTTTACACATGTACAAACCTGAAGAGTGATGAACGGCACGACCTGCGATGGAAAAGGTAACTTTTAACGTTTTTTAAATGAGTAACCTTAGCTCGAGGACCTTCAGAGGTTAGCTAAATTTAGCTAGCTTTCCTGTCATGCTCTATGCTAATGTTAGACGGTTTATTTCACTAGTTTGTGCCATTAAAATGTATGGCTTAACAAGGTTATCACGGCTATAAATACTGTAGTATATTAAATGGTTGGTTCACCCAGTTAACTTTACAAAACTGTCTCCCTGTCACTTCTTGTCAGAGGGAAGTTAGAAGTACCCATTTCTTGTAGCTACTTAAGCAAAATCAATGTAGAAATACCGTTACAAGTAAAAACCTGGCTTTATTTTTTTTAACATTGATGTTAGGATTTTGAATATAAAACAAACACTCAGTGCATCCTCTTACCAACTCAGCCACACATTTCTTTATGGGTAGAAAAACAAAAAACAAGTCCAAGGACTTCAACATTACTACTAAAATATAATGCAAACCGTGATAGCGGTTATACTGCTACCCATTTAGACCATTACAATTCACTACCCTTGAGATACTCGAGTACAGGGCTCTACATTCAGACAAATCTTTGAATCTTATTATTGTTATTAGAGAACCTTAACCTTAGTACAATAAATTGATCAGTTCTCTTATCCACGCATAATATGTTGGTGCACAGTCTGACCTCCACATAAGTAGAATAAATTTCCTTGCCAAAGTCGTACCAAATGAAATGGCCTGTGTTTCAAACCTGTCTGCCAAAGGTAACACACTCGTGGCACCTTGGACAGCAACGAGTGGGTTAGTTTCCCACTTCTTCTCAAAGGCATTAGAGAAACATTCAAATATCCTCTTCCAATAAGTAAACAATATCCGACATGTCCAAAGAGAATGTGTTAATGTCCTGTCTGCCAGTTTACACCTACTACAGAGGGGGAAACATCTGGGAAAATATTATGCGATCTGCGAAAAAAATTGGAGGCTGGGTCAAAACTTTCCATGAGTAAAAGCACAAAAATATTGGCGTAAGTATCAAAAGTCAAAGTAGTCATTATGCAGAATGACTTGTTTTAGAATAGTGTATATTACAGTACAGTATGTGAGTATAATTATTGATGCATTGATGTGTTGATCACTCTAATGTTGCAGCAGGTAAATGTAGGAACAATTTTAAATACTGCTGGGTAGCTGGTGAATTTTATCTTAACCTATAATATTAGATCATAATTTATTTTTGATTATAGTTTGAGTTAGTAATCTCAATCTGCAAGTTAGTGGAGTAAAAGGTACAAGATTTGCCACTGAAATATAGCGTGACAGAAGTATAAAGTAGCAGAAAATGGAAATACTCAAGTGAAGTACAAGTGAATTAGCCATTCAGACAGTTGTTGTTTTATTCACCCAGGTTTTCATATTTGCCTCCACCTCAAAACAATGGCTACAAATAGAATTTCTTCTTTGGTCTTCACAGCATTGAGAAATGACATTAAAAAATTCAGCAGCAGCATCTTTTATTCAAAACAGCGGATCTGTTAACTAACAGTTATTTTATCTTTCGATTAATCTGTCTAATATTTTTTTGGTTAATATGTTAATTGTTTGCTTCAGAGGATGTCATAAGAATGTGAAAAATGACCATCGCAATTCCCAAAAGCTCATGTTGATGCCCTTAAAAAGTTTTTGGACTGTCCACCCATCAGTCCGAACCCCAAATGTATTCAGTTTACAGTTGTAGAAGAATAAGAGCACTAACAAATGTTCACATTTGTTAGTCAAATTACGATTGGTTGATTATTAGGTCTTATGAAGCTTTGGGGCTTTCTGTCTATTTGTGCCAAAAAAGATTTAAAGTTTTGGGGGTTTTAACGCAGCAAACACAGCGACATCTGGTGGCTTGCAAAATGTATAGCAACCCTCCTGGACAGGCTGAAGCACCACAACATCCCTCTGATTTTATAGTTTTAATGCTGCATTGATGTGCTGCATTATGGTGTAGTGCAACAGGTTATCGTGAAATAACTAATTAATACATTATCAAAAAAGCCTACGTATAAAATATTTTGCTGACCCAAAACCTTAATGTATCTTATTAGTGTGTGTGTACGTTTAGGCTCAGTGTCACTGTCGGCTCACAAGCTTTAACTTTATGATAGATGTGATTGGAGAATGATTTAATTAGCTTATTCATTTTATCACCTTATTACTTGGTATCAGGTAGAAATCTCATACTCATGATTATGTCTCCTAGTGTAGATGACATTATTTCTCAGTTATTATCTGTAGCATAGTGCATGGTGATAGATTTGTCTCAGCTTTATGTGTGTGAGATCGTGTGTAAATGTGTAATCTGTAAATACCAAACAACTTCCACAAATGCAAAAAGATTTGTAAACTCACAAATATTTTGCAAGTATAAAACAGATCTGTAAATAGACACATTTTAAAAAAATAATAATAATGGAGGGAAAAATGCAAAATCTGCAATCTTAGAATTGAGATTCACATATGAAGACTGGACTCACTAATATCTCTTTGAAAGTAGTAAATATGAGGAAGATATTCACAACTGCCTTTTATTTATTTGTAAATTAATTTGAAGTATTCACAGATATTTATTTTTGGAATTTGCTAATCTGTTTTTACATGTGCAAAATAGTAGGGATGCACGATAATATCGGCACGTCATCAGTATTGGTATTGGATTAGCATATTGGCTTTAAAATTAAATATCAGAACCAGCCAGTACTGTGCATCCCTACAGAATAGTTTTGTGAGTTTACAAATCTTTATTTGTGTTTGTGGAAGGTGTTTTATTTGTACAGACTACGTGTTAACACACAGACTTTTAATCTGCTCACACAAATAATATTGAGACAAATCTATCACCATATTAATAATCGAATTTTAGCTGCAAAACTATTGAAGCTGTCAAACTGAATGAAGCACTTCCTGGAGGACAGATGACGTTTAAAGCTCATGTGGTATTCCCCATCTGATGCAAGCTCAGACACGGTGTATTAGAGTGAAACAAGCTTCAGAGCTTCAGTCTCTATCCATCATCTAAATTGTATTTGACAAATCAATTAAACAGCGGCTCATTGAAGCTCTACTCTACTTCTGGAAAGAGGTTTTCAAAGACAAATTACCATTCACCACCATTGTATCGAGGTGAAGACATAAATCTTAGAGAGAGATGTTTCAAAGCCTCAGCATATTAAACCAAAACTATCTGCATAACTAGATACCCCTAGGGAATGAGTAATTTTTGTAATTTCGGTAAACCAACCCTTAAATTATGTTGTGTCAGCACTGGGGTTTGGCTCCCAAAATTAACCATCTAGTAAATTGTCTGTGAAAGTTATGGCATTTCTATTAATCTACTGATTCTCGATTTTTCTCTCTCTTCTTTTCAAGGAAGGGCTGATGAACGTCAAAGCTCTGAGGGCCAAGTTTCAGGAAGAGGCCTTTCTTGCTCAATCCAAAACCAGTCGACCAGCTGTTGCAGAGAAACCCAAACACCTCCCACCTCCTGGGGGTCACTGCAGCTCTGTGGTCAGCAGTATTAATATCGCTGTGGAAAACAAGACACCAGTGGTTCCCCGGGTCATCTTCAGAGATGGGCTGCGGGCATCTGGAGGCAAACGACCAATTTCCTTTCCACCACAACCTCAACAGACCTCCCCCTCATCCCAGCTTACTAATGGAGACAGCACAACAAGGCAGTCCCTCAAAGACAGACACATGCCTCTGGTGCTTCCTGTCCTGCCTGTGAAGGAGAAAAAGACAGAACCGCCATCCAAAAAGGAGCACAAACTGGAACCAGATCCAGGGAAAGAAGTCCTGCCACAAACTAAAATCAAGAAGAAAGGTTTGCTGCTTCCTTTTAAGTCTGCCAAGGCATCAAAGGTCAGCACAGAAAATGTGGAGGAGCCTACGTATGCTGATTTAACCACCAGACCTTCCAGTGCTCCCGGCGAGTTGCCCTCTGTAGAAAAGCAAACAACAGAGGATGGGGTTTCTCTTCACAGTGACCAATCTACCGCTGAGCTTCCCTTCTCCAGCCCAGATATCCCAATCACCCCTCCTCCTGCAGATACAAGTGTCGACTCCGAACACAAAATCATTAGCACCTTGGAGAGGGCCAAGAGGAAGTTTTCACGCAGTCATGTGTTGATCTCTGCCAAACCTAAGAGCTTACGTTCCCCTGACTACATCTCAAAAGACAAGGTGTTCCCTTCACTGCCAAAGAACGCTGACTGTGTTGAGCCTGAGCCACCTGTGCCCCCGCCAGCGTGTTTTCCCCACCTGGCTTGTCTGTCAGCCCGACCTTTCTTCAAAGCAAACCACTCATCACGCAGTAAGTTATATCCAGTGATAAACATTTTTTGGTCCACATCAGACACCCTTCTCTTTTTACACTACTTGTATAGACTCGATTTCTAATGCAGTTGCGATATTTTATTTCCCAATGGCTAGAGTCTCCGTTGGATAAGCATTTTGACAGAGGTAAAGCTCTTCCCTCTGTTGAACCTCATCCAACCTCCGCTCCTCCAAAGAAGCCTCTACCTGACGTGAGGTCCCTGGGCCTGTTGCCACCAAAGCCCCCCAGACCTCCATTAGTAGATCTCAGCTGTTACCACCAACTCACAGATAACGGTATGTTAGCCTGCTTCTCTGGCTGCAGATGGAAAAAAAGTTGTATTTTACTTTGATACCCTGTGTTGTGTATTATCTGTACTGCAGGTTAGAGGTGGATTATCAAAGGCTGATACATTAACAGTAGTCTGGAACAGGACAAAACCGATAGCTTACTAATAATTTCAGCTTGTTGACATTTTGACATCACACTGTTACCCACGGCAACAACAAGCATGACCGAAAGCGAAATTATTACGGACTCTGCTGTGGTTCCAAAAAGAGGAGCAGCTTCAGTAGTGTGGAATAAACTGTGGCGTCATGAATGTTTTATGAACAGCCCCGGACTTCTCAGACTCTTTTAGTGACTTACA